ATGTTCGTAGATGTCTGATGATTGCTATTGTTGAGAGTGACTTATACAATAGTGCAGTCACTACTTGTGATCAACTAAAGACTTTTGCATTTGAAAGTCATCCAAAATGTTATGCTGATAATGGATTTTGTGATGATATACTTGTGTCGCCAAGCTGTCAAAACCTTCTTTGTCTGTCAAATGAGGTTTTTGTATGGAGTGATTTTTTTAATAAGCTGGCAATACTACAGGTCAGATACCACATTTTGTGGGTATGTAAAAATTAAAAAAGTTATTGTTTGAACTTGTTTCTGCTTTGAAAAATTTTGATTGTGGTTAATTTAATTTTATTGCAAAGGGCAATCCATGAAATTTTTTTGCCACATAGTATAAACTAGTTACCTTATTTACAGTTGCCTTCATTTAACAAAGTTCTGCCTGGCATTTATTTCATCATTTATTTAATGAGTAAATCAGTCATAGTGTCAGTAGCTGGAACTATTATTAATTTTTTTTGCATTTTAAACCTAGATCTAATTATATTCAAAACAATGTACAATTTAATGAACCAATAACAGTAAACTATAATTTGCTATAAATTGATAAACATTGCCTCTTAGGTCCCTAATACATTTCTATTATGTAGTGGAAGTCAAATACTTAAATATATTCGTGCTATACCATCTTGTGCTAAAAATGGTTTGATCCAAGCATTAAATGACTCTACAGGTAAAAATATTAACACAAAAAAATTATGAATGAATTTTTTAGATTGCAATGCAGCTGGATTAGATGTGGTTCTTGTACTTGATTCTTCTGGAAGCATTGGACTTGACAATTTTGAGAGACTGAAAACCTTCATAATACAAATTTTGTCTAGCTTTACCATTGGACCAGATGACACTCGTGTTGGAGTCATTCGTTTCTCTACTGACGCATCAATTGTTATTCCTTTAGGCAGTTCTGGATTTTTTTCTGAATTGTCATCTCGTATCAATAGCATTTCATATGATGGAGGTAGTACTTACACCGATAAAGCTCTTCTACGCTTATTATCAGCATTCAACACAGCACGTACTGATGAGGGGGTACCTAGTGTTGCTATTGTTTTTACAGATGGAGTGTCAAATAGCCCTAGTCTAACACGAACAAATGCTAGAGCTGTCCATAATGCTGGAATATATACTTATGCCTTTGGCATTGGAAGTAACATTGATTCTGAAGAACTAAATTACATTGCTAGTGGTTCAGATTATGTGTTAAACATAAACAGTTTTTCATCCTCTGATTTTGAAACTGCTCTTCGACCACTTCGTACTAGAGCATGCATGAGTAAGTTAGATCCAGTTAGTGATGTTCATATTTACAATTATTTTTATTATTATAGCTACATCTTCTTTAAGTATTGGAAATTTGATTACAGGATATGTTGGACTAAAAGCATTTCGTTTGATCAAGTTTAGCTTCCCTTGGCGTTTAGGAATGACAGTAAAGTTGGCTATATCAGCTGGGGATTTTATTATCCGTGGATCGTTTTGTGTCCCGAATCCAACAGAACTAACACAGGATTTTGTTGTCACAAGTGATGGATCTGACATTGACTATTTTGTTAGTCCAGAATTATTTGAGAGTTCAACTACTGTTATTGATGATAGCCAACAGCGTCGAAAGAGACAGGCACCTACTAATGTTACAGATAGTAATCTCTACCTGTCTATCATTGGAGTTGGCAACAACAACAGATTTTCTTTAAATACTACTTATGGTGATACTACTGATGCTGTTTCTGCTGCCGGAGGTAAGTATGTATAAACTGTGGGTCTTGATACTTTGGAATTTTTTTCTTATTATTTAGGTCCAACTGGCTTGGCTTCTCTACTGTTAGTAATTGTTGCATTGATGTGCTTTTTTTGCTGCTAAATTAGATGTGCTTTTTTGCTGCTAAATTAGATACTTTTCTGTTATTTTCTGCTTCAACTTAGATTGTTGTGCTAATTTCTTAAATTTAGTATTAGTCTATAATTATTAACTTTTGAATAAGTGTGGTTCATAAAGACATGGATTAATGCTCGACTTTGCATTGTGTTTTTGTGTAGTATCTATGATTGTACATGTGTCTTTTGTTTTTCATTAGGATCAGTGTCTCCTTAGAAGACAAAGCCAGTAACAATATTACATGTACATGGCCTAAAATAAAATTAATAATGATGAGAAATTATAAATAATTATGGTCAGAAATATAATAATATCTATATCTATGACTATGATGTAATCTGTTAGATTGTAAGTTTCCTTAAAAGCAGATAATGCTGTGTATTCTCTGCATTTTGGTAGTATGACTGGTAGCTATTACTTTGCTGCTAACTGAGATCAATTCTGACAATGAAGTTGTACTCATGCTATGTGGGAAGTTTGAGCTGATTCCGAAGAACATTTTTCAAGATATCCTATTTTTAAAAAGGAGTGGACTATATGTATGCATATACTTATATGCATCAATGGTTTTTCAAAAGTTGGCTAACAAATAATTTTTGTACCCTATTTATTTATTATGATTTCTACTCCTTCAAGGGATCATTGCATTGATAATTTATATCATCCTTGTGATATTGTATCTGATGATTCAGATTGCAGTTTTTATTACAACAACAGCCTTTGCATATTGTTATGGTAGTGGAGAAGGTAAGCTTATTACAATAAATATTGCAAGAACTTGCACAGTGTTAAGTACATGTATTAATTTGTAAAAGAATGCTTAGATTAAATACTTTCCTATTATTATTAGATAAAAAGGAGTTGCTGCATAGTCTCTTCAAATACATGCATTATTTTAAGAAGGATCCATTAGATACAGGTTTTCCAATGGAATCAAAGATCTGTGAAGATCCAGAAGAAGAGAAATTGGTCAAAAGCAATGATGTCTCTGAGACTGAAGTGAAGGTAGGGTTTACTAGTTATCCATTCCTCTCTTTCCACTCTTATACACTGTTTAGCACATTTATATCAGGTATCATTTTTTGTTTGGCTTTTCTGCATGTAGTTCAATTGAGATGCAATTTGATTTATAGTGGGAAAATTGTAAAGTATAGTAACTAATTATTTCTAACTTTATTATGTATAGGCTCAATTTAAATTATGTGGATTGGGCTCAATTATACTGCAGATGCTGTTCTTATCACTGACTATCACTGTGTTTGTTGCCATCATTGCAGTTTCAAAGTGATCCAACTATAATGCTATGATATTAACTATTATTACAAACTGTTATTAATTCATTCATTCATTCACACTATCATTCATTATCAATAAGATCAACAGTATATAGTCTCATTAATAACAACTGTTTTAAAAATGATATTATACTTATATAGTAAGTCTTACACAACTTGAGCTGACAATGCAAAATAAAGCAACAAAACAATAATGTTCCTAAAGCTAAAACAACAATAAACTATGTCTGAAAAGTCTTTTTTTTAATTAATTGCAATCAGTATAATCATGACCACTACTGCAATAGCAATAGCAGTCAAATGGACAGCAACTGTTACCCAACTGGTACGAACCAGCGCACTCTAAAAAAATGGGGAAAAAAAAGAATTTTTCCAAGTTGTAGTAAGAGTTTTGATTCTATACCTCAAGAGGTTTCTTCTTTTCTGGTTTCTCAGGCTCTTTCTTTTCACCATCTTTCACTGCGTCCATTTGTATGACTTCATTTTCATCCTTAGCTCCAAAGAGATATTTGTAC